TGATATTCGCAACAACAAAATTTTCAGATTCTTAGCACCAATAACAAATAGTTAAAAAAGCTAAAATCCGTTAACCGACAAGTAAAAAGTTATCTTTACACGCAAACAACAGTTCTTAATTCTGTTAAACATTTCTCTTTTTTTTTCTTTGCTGTTTGTTGTTTATCGTAAGAAAAAAGATTATGAATGAATAAATATAGAAAAAAAAAAAAAGATTAGTTTATCCTATTGAAAACGTTCAAAAAAAAATTTGTTGTTCAGCACCAAAAAAAAAAAACACTAAGCGATAACTGTAATAAAAGAAGAAAGATAAAAAAAATTACATTCAAAAAAACTTTTAACAGTATTCATTGCTTTTCTCATTCTTATCTCCTCTAAAAATAGAAATATTTTTTGTTTATTCATTTTTTTTTCTTCTTAGTTTGATTTAATAATCCACAAAAAAAAATTACTCTCCAGTAACAGACAATTACTTATCGGATAAGTATTCTGAACTTAAAGTTAGTAAGTAAGTTAGTTTTTTTTTTTTTGTCATTCTAACAGATTCAGAAACGTTGTGTAAATAAAACCATATATTTACGCTAACAGCAATTAATCTGTTGTTCTAATAGATTCTCAAATTTTTATGCTTTTCCAACTTGCTTGCTTACCTAACTTTTTTGATAACACTATCCTATCTATAATTCTTCTGCTACTGTTTTAGCTATCAGAAATATGAAAAAAAAATTTAAAATAAATAAAACTAAAAGTAAAAGTAAAAATCAAAAAAAAAAAAAAAGAAAAACTTTAACTTAGAAACATGAATCAGGTTTACTTCACGAAAACTTTTCCAATTCTACAGGAAAAGGCTGATGAGAAATCTTTTTTTTTTGAAAGTTCTAACAAAAAAAAAAAACAGGGAAAAAGGAAGGGAGGGGGGAAAAAAAACAAACGGTGTAGGTTTTTTATTTTAATTCAAATTGAACGTTTCGTATAATGGACTTTTTTTTCTTTTTTTTTTTTTTCTTCTTCTTGTGGATCAGTGTATTTGATTAGGAAAAAAAAAAAAACGATTAAAAATAAGTTTTAGGCTAATTTGCAAACCTAAATTAATCAAACACTTTCCATTTAATATTCAAAATAAATTTTTTAAACTTTATGTTTTTTCTTTCCTGTCCCTTTTCCTCCCCCCTCCCCCGTCCCCCTTCCTCCACCTTCCCCCCATCTTTTTCTATTTTTTCTTTTCAGATACTTCAATGCAATGTGTGGTATTTAAAAAAGAATAATTTTTTTTTTCTTTTTTTTTGGTTAGAAAAATAATAACAGCTTTTTTAGCCTTCAAAGTATTTTCTTTGTTGACTTGATTTTTTTTTTTTCTTTCTGTGTATGTGTTTTTATACTCTCTTTTTTTTGCACACACACAGTTTTTTGTTTTTTGTTTTTGTTTTTGTTTTTTTTTTTTAATATTTTATGTTTTTTAAACCGAAAACAAAAAAAGAAGGTTTTATATTCATATTTGATTTGTAGAACAGCGGTATAGTTCTTTTTTCTTGGCAATTTTAAATTTGGCTTATAAATAAGACAGTTTGAAAAAAAAAAAAACAAAAACGAGAACTTAAATTGATCGAGTCGACCAAAGCAAATAGTGTTATGAAGAATATGGTGAAAACAACTGAATACAGCAAATTTAAAGAGTTCTTTTTTTTTTACTTATAAATATTCTTTTTTTTTGTGTTAAATTATATCAACAATAAATGAGGACAACAATACTGTCAGTTTTGAAGGAAATGGTTATAAAAACACCGGGGTATACAAGCAAAAAAACAAAAAAAAAATCGTTTAGCCAACAGCCCATACGACACAACCACCAAAACGATGTTGTATTATAGATTTTTTATTTAGCACTAAACTCTAAACACTTTTTTTTTTTTTATTGAATCTGGAAGAAGAAGGAAAAAAAAAAGAGTTTTAAATACCTCAAAGACTGTGGGATGCAACAACACTAATGATTAACAGCAAAAAAAAAACAAAAAAAAAAATCTGCTGTCAATTTGTTGAGTAAAAATCG